AATAGATGGACGAATCGATGCATTACAAAAGGAGATTAATGTTTTATGCCACAAACTGACGAAACTAAATCAGAGCGATACGCAAAGAGGATGGTCACGAAGTAGATCGAGGGAAAGAAGTCGATCACGTTCTAGGAGACGCTCAGCCCCTACAATATGTTGGTACCATCAAACTTTCGGCGATAAAGCTCGAAACTGCAGATCACCATGTAAATTCAAACGAACACACCGATTGTCGATAAACGCCGCAACAACTACAACAGCTCCTAGAAACAGTCGTTTATTTTACGTTCAGGATAGAGTAACAGGCGCTCAATTCTTAGTGGATACGGGAGCAGAAGTAAGCGTCGTGCCTCCAGTAAGTAACGAAACACGAAATATCGATACAGCGCTAACGCTTAAGGCAGCAAATAAATCCGATATAAAAACATATGGCAAGCGAAAAGTAACCTTGAATTTCGGTCGTACTACCTCATTCCGCTGGGAATTCATTATCGCAGATGTATCCGTACCTATAATTGGTATTGATTTCTTAAAGAATTTTGACTTACTAGTGGATACCCGACGAAACCGGCTCGTGAACGGCGACCATTCAGTAGTGATAAGAGGAGTGACGACTGATCACGCATCCATGAATTTAGTAGTGTCAAAAGACAAAAACGAGCCATATAGATCGCTTCTAAACGAGTATGCCGATCTGACGAAGGTATCATACGATAACAGAGATCTTAAACATACGGTACAGCACCATATTATAACGAAAGGTCCACCGACTAAATCAAGACCACGAAGGCTAGACCCGAAAAGGTTGAATGTCGCGAAACGAGAGTTCGAAAAGTTGACGAAGCTTGGTATCATAAGACCTTCTAATAGTCCCTGGGCGTCCCCATTGCATATGGTTTCGAAGAAGAATGGGGAAATCAGGCCATGCGGAGACTATAGAGCCCTTAACAAGCAAACGATAGCAGACAGATATCCGATACCACATATCCACGACATTACTACCAATATGGAAGGTGCCACGATATTTTCGAAAATCGATCTCGTTCGAGCTTATTACCATATTCCCGTAGCGACAGAAGATATATCTAAAACGGCTATAATTACTCCATTTGGGTTATTCGAGTTTTTGCGAATGCCATTCGGATTAACTAATGCAGCCCAAACCTTCCAAAGATTCATCGATCAGGTCGTCAGGGGTTTGACAGGAGTTCACGCATATATCGATGATATACTAGTAGCTAGCTCTACCAGGGAAGAACATCTACAACATCTACGACAGTTGTTTACGAGACTTCAAGAACATGGCGTCACTATTAACGTGGAAAAGTGTGAATTTGGAAAGGAATCATTGCAATTCCTAGGTCATATGATAAATTCACATGGTATCATGCCAGTTCCGACAGAAGTTGCCGCTATTCGTAATTATCCGTTGCCCGATTCACAAAGAAAATTACGAAGATTCTTGGGGCTAATAAACTATTATAGACGATTTATCCCAAACTGCGCAGCAATATTACAGCCATTGACGGACGCCTTGCGAGGACATACTCGAACATTCCGTCTTTCAGCGGATGCTATACAGGCTTTCGAGAACGCTAAGCGAGCGCTAAATGAGAAGATGATGTTGGTACGACGAAAGAGCGAAGCACCATTAGCAGTAATGACAGACGCATCGAACTTAGCAGTAGGAGCCGTTTTGCAGCAGTTAGTAAACGGTGTATGGGAGCCACTTTCATTTTTCTCGAAAAGATTAAATCCTACCCAAACGAGATATAGTACGTTTGGACGAGAATTATTAGCAATCTACTTAGCAATAAAACACTTCCGTCATATGGTCGAAGGCATAAGTTTTACCGTCTATACAGACCACAAACCGCTAACGAAAGCATTAAGCGCAAAGCAAGACAATTATTCCCCGAGAGAGATCCGACAACTAGAGTTCATTTCACAGTTCACGTCCGACATACAGTACGTTAAAGGACAAGAAAACGATGTGGCCGACGCATTGTCACGAGCAACGATAAGCACACTTATGGCAAGTGGAATTGATTATAACGGTCTAGCAAAGTTGCAGGAGAGAGACATCGAGCTAAATAAACTCAGATCCGGTGGTTCAACATCATTAGTACTCGAAGAGGTGCGGTTTGGTAACACGAAAGTAATTTGCGATACATCAACAGGCCGACCGCGACCATTTATCCCGAAAACGTTGCGACACAAAATATTCGAAAGCATGCACAACATGTCGCACCCAGGAATAAAAGCCACGATAAAACTGATTAGTGAACGATTCGTATGGACAAACATGAATCACGATGTACGTAATTGGACACAAGCATGTATGAAGTGCCAAAAAGTGAAGGTACATCGTCATACTAGCTCTGCAGTAGGTCCGTTTTCGCACCCAGACACTAGATTTGAACATATACACATCGATATCGTAGGACCACTGCCCGTTTCAAATGGATACAACTATATCTTTACATGCATCGATAGGTTTACACGATGGCCGGTAGCAGTGCCGATAAAAGACACCTCAGCTGAAACGGTAGCTAAAACCCTAGTTGAAAATTGGATTTCTTACTACGGTGTACCAACGATTATCACAACGGATAGAGGAGCACAATTCGAAAGTCGACTCTTTCAGCAGCTTACTGAACTCCTCGGTATTAAACGAATCCGAACGACGTCGTACCATCCAATGGCAAACGGAATGGTTGAACGCCTACATAGGCAATTAAAAGCGTCCCTTACAGCCGTCATCGTTAACAACGATTGGTCTAATAAACTTCCCCTAGTAATGTTAGCTCTAAGAGCAACAATTAAACAAGACATGGGATGTTGTCCAGCCGAGTTAGTTTACGGAACTACTCTACGATTACCCGGAGAATTTTTCACTTCAAGTAAAAATGTCCCGACTGATGTAACCGGCTATGTGCAACGCCTGAGAAAGCACATGAGCGATTTAAAAATAACACCTCCCAGACCACAACAACGACGGGTATTCATACCACAGGAACTACATAACAGCTCTCACGTATTCATCAGAAGAGATAAAGTACAACCACCTCTTCAACCGAGTTACGACGGACCATTTAAAGTGATAGAGAGGACAAATAAAACGGTTACCATAGAAAAAGCTGGGAAGACAGATGTAATTAGCATCGATCGAGTAAAGCCAGCTTTCATCGATAGCGATAATCAATCAACAAGTACAGACTCATCTAAGATGGTCATACCAGCGAAACACGAGTCCCAAAAATCAACAACGTTAACTCAACAAAAAGACAAGACTCCGATAACAACAAGATCCGGCCGCAGAGTAAGATGGCCCCAACATTATGTCGCTACAATTTTCTATTAATAATAATCTACTATTTGGAATATTAATTATAACTTCTACCTCATCGTATACACATGCATTATTAAGCTCATGTTATGCGCTATAAAACTCAACGTATCTTATGTACCCTTACACTTATGCGTATAATTTTTGTTTAAAATGTAAAGACAATACCGCTTTCCTTCTATTTCTTGCTATTATTTTATGTAACCTCACGGACGGGCGCAAACCAAATGTACAGCACACACCAACTTCATCTTAATTTTGTATAAGCCATTTTTCTACCCTATTCAGTCTACTATTTTTTTTATGCAAACACAGACATTTTCCATATATCTTTGTTTGCAGGGGGGAGCTATTATAGCGACTCACGTGCAAATGGGTTTATTTTCATTTAACCCAGTTAAGCCCTTTTTGTTAACTTATTTAGCGGACAAAGCCATCCGCGCTATGACAATTTATTGTATCCTTATTATTATTTTGCGCTTGTATGAAATACGTATGCTTGAATATTGATTACTGCCTACGCATTTATTCACTCTGCTAATCTTACCACTAACCGCTTATTCGATTCGATTACTCATTCATTTCACATGGTATATATATGTCCATGTTATTCATATTGAACACAATCGCTCACTCGCTCGCACGGTCTCGTCACGCTCTTGCTCTGGCTCTCGTTCGCTTGCTTGCCTTTCGGCACAACTCTTCTATGCTTGTTTAACACATCTGTACATTTGGATATATGTGTGTGGTTTCGCAATAAACGTAATCGAAACTTCGTATTTGCCTTCTGATTAATATACCGTTGGTACGTAATATAGAACGGTTATCGCGACGAACTATATACGAAGTTTAATGATCATATCAAATACCGACCACCACACCACCTGCTCCGGTTCGGGCACCCAGGCAGTATCCTAGCCCTGACACAAATCAAATGAGATTTGTGTGGCACATATGTAGCTGGTGCCTTCTTTTACCAATGTTTATGTGTTCAAATAAATAAATAATCGAGATATAGACTGCTTCCGTGATACAATGACTGTCAAATCTAAATATATGGTACTAGGCCAATATTTGACCATTTGACAATATTAAATGAATCAAGGAATATAATGAATAAGGATCGATATGGTAAAACAGATTTTCCAATCGATTTCTCTACTCAATGATTGATAGAAACGCTTCAAATAACTGAAGTTCCATAAATCCACAATTTTAACTAGAAAGAATAAACTAAACTGATTCAAATAAATAAGAAAAGAAACTATCAACTGTTCAATCAAATGAACAAACACAAATTTTTTTTTTAAAAGATAGAATAAGAAAAACTTATAATTAACCATTATTTGATTGTGTTAATGATAAACAAGTAAGAGAATTCAAATGAAATCAACACATAATAATCTAAAATGATCCATATCTATATATATTTTTACAATATACTTACAAGATCATTAAATTATGATTCATAACAAATTAGTGATTGATATCCAGAAGGCATTCAGTAAATAGAGCAAAACCAAACAACATTTTGAATAGAGGTTGTTTTGTTTTATTAATAAAAGTAATATACCCTAACAACAGAAATAAAATTCTGATAAAAAAAAGAAGACAAATATAAACTAATAAATACACACTATTGAGAATATTGAAAAACAACAAACAATTGTGTCCCGATTCTATTTTCTCTTTGTTTTGTTTACCGGTTAAACAAACAAACAAACAAACAAAAATGACTTCATGTTGTTTAAAAGTGATAAGCATAAGCAAACTAGTCATTTGAATGATAAATATATATATAATATGAGTAGTAGATTCAACAATATAGCAAAATAAGTTTCAAAGGGATATTGTTGTTGTTGTTTATTGATTTTTATTTCAAAAATCAAAACACATAATGGGATAGGCATTTGCGGTGATGGACAATTGTACTAGTGAGTGAATAAAATATTGTTTGTTTGTTCTTCTTTTTCGAAAAAGAAAGAAAGAAAAGAGAAAAGAAAATGGTCCTCTCTTTTTTTTTCTTTTTCTTTCAAACAGTAATAAAACCATGTATAAATATAGAAATGGATGTCAAAAACAACAACAAACAAACAAACAAACAAACAATCAATCATTTGTGATTATGATTATCTTATACCGGGAATAGTGATTACGTTTAAAAGGTTATACCTATATTTATTTAATTGAATAATAATATAAATGACATAATAAATGAATTCATTGAATCATCTACAATGAAAGGTTATATCACAAAATAAACATAGAAAAGTAGTTGATGAATAAATGAAAAATAAGCATGTTTGTGTTTGTGGATGTCTGTGTGTGTGTGTATGTGCATATTAACACTAAAGTTACATAATAACATAGGGAGAAAGAAAACAAAAATTACCCAACACACACATATACATAAACATATATGGAAACTAAATTTCATTTTAAAGAAAAGGATTAAGAAGGGGGAAATGTAAAAAAGAAATTAAACAACGATAAATTTAAAAAAAAATAAACATAATCCATTCGAGTTACATCATATGTATGTATGTATGTATGTATGTATACATTCAACGGACCATTCATTTCCTATACAGTACATAATCAAAGGATAACACAAGCGAATCATCCTATGCACACTTGGAATAATAATGATAAATAATTCTATGTATACACGACTATCTCTATTCTTTATTTTATACAAAACAATAATAATAGCTGGTAGCCAATAGATTTACAAGAGGTTAAACAATAAAAAATAATAATAGTGATATAAAAACAAGAAAACAATCAAAAGTTTCACTGTATCACTACCATCACTACCGCCACCACCACCACCATCACTACACCTATTCACAGTTTCCAGTTAATAAAGTTGTGTTTTTTTAAAGAAAAGAAAGCTGGGAATAATCTGTAGGTTTGTTGTTGATAGCTTAATAACCATTTATAATGTTCGTTTATTCGATCTTCTATGTAGAACACTTTTCTTTCTCTCTGTCTTTTAATATTTTGTCTTATAAATGCATGTGTATATACACATGTGATCCATTTGTTTCAAAGATCATTTAATTTTGAACATTACGTATATGAGATTCTTTAGCTTCGAATTCTTTTACTTCATGAAATATACGCGCTTTCCATTCTTCAACTGATAAATTTCTTTCACTAAGTGAATCATCATATGGAGCTGGTGGTGGCTAAAAGTAAAAGAAAAACGAAAATAATAGATAAATTGTGTTCAAAACAGATAGTGTGGATATACAACACAAGATTAGTATTAGTAGTAATAATAAGATGATTTACAATCTCTTTCAGAGAAGTTCTATTAACTGCTATTTACATTTCAGTATTCTGCTGAAGTTAAGGATTGAAGATGTCTCTTATGGAAGTTCCGTTATGAGTAGACTTTAAATCAACAAACGTTATTTTTTGCTGATATGTCAGTGAATATGATATCCGGCACAACTATTCTCAGACCAACTATATTATTATCATCAGTTTTTCTACCTTCACTTTCAGAGGCAGACTGCACAAAAAAAAGCCAGACTGAGAACCTGGAGATTTTCGCTACTAACTTATGTAATATCGCATAGACGTGCTTAGGAATTTCAGGAGCAGCGATGTAAAGTCATCGTCTGTCGGTTTAGACAGTATAATCCACTTGTGTTTAACAGAGCTGACGTCAATGTCATATGCTAAGTGTCATAGTCTAACATCACCGCTAATGAATCAAATTTTAAACCAATAAAGTTCAATAAAGTATTGAATAAAGGGATCACTATTATTATCATCATTAGTTCTTACCCCACTAAAAAATATATATGAACATTAGTTGCATTCACGAAATACGATAAAAGTCAAAGCTTAAATTCATAAAAAATCAGGTTGCAAGAACTCCAACCAATCTTTTGACGTTCATCGATTTAACACGATAGATTGGAAGTACGTCAATGTGTGCAAACTATATAACGGAAAATTTTTACGAAGAGTACGTGAAGATTATAAAAGCTGAAAGTCAGGATTCCTCACTACAGTGAAAGTAGTAGGAGCATCTAAAAATTTTCAATTGTTTTCATGTATCCGAAACCCTGAACATATCTTCACCTTATATTCAGTGCTTGATTATCATAAGATGTACTCAAAACGAACAGTCGCTGTATATTTTGATTCGAAAACTGCTGTCGACTCACAGAACGGGATTATGCTCTGGAATTTTTACTTAAAGAGGAGTGCCTGATAAAGTTATTAATTCGAAAACACCTTAGATAAATTAATGAAATATAAACAAAAATTCTTCTTTTAAAATGATTTAGGTCAGGTTCATTCGATGAACCGTTATTCCTGGTGAAGATTAAACATATTAATACCTAGAGTCAGAAATATATATGTTTATAAAACTCTTGGGAAACTACATTTCCATATATCAACTAACGTACCGCGTTTACTTCAGAGTCTTCGTACCATACGTGTATATATGGGTGATGAAGAGCATCATCAACTGAAATTCTTTGTAATGGATCAATTACTAACATTCTACTTAATAAGTCTCGAGCTTGGTCAGCGTTTAGTGTTTCATGATCCTATCAAAATATAGAAAGAAAGAGGAAAGTGGAAAAAACCATAAAGAGTAAATAAGACGAACCACAAACTAAACTTGCAAAACTGATGCTTTCATTGGCAACTTCACAGATCAAGTGAAATCATGAGCAGTCTTAGCAAACATCTTAATAAGTAAGTGAAGAAACAAGTATCTACTTGTTAATATTTATCTACAGAAAGGTGATATGGATATTCAGTTTGTTTGAACGTGATATTCTCAAAAGACCAAAGAACACATTAAATCGATAAAAAGCAGATATGAAAAGGATGAATAACAACGGGAAAGGATTGGATGGAGAGTGGTGGTGGGAGGCCTATGTTCCTCCACGAGGAGTAGAAGGCGTAAGCAAGTAATACACAGAAGAGTCGCTAAAAACCAGGAATTATTCGATAGTTTTTTCATATGTGTGTTTGAGTTCCGAAAATAAATAAATACGAGATCGCTTAGTGCGATAACACGTTATTCTTTTATTTTAGGGTAAAATTTCAATGTTTGATAACTAGGGATTTCAAGCAGGAACCATCCAATAAATTTCTTGAGCATTCATCTTTACGTTGAAATCGGTTAGAGCTGCAGTACAGTGTTTCTGGCCAGACTTCCAGCATACTATTTTGATTTCATTTATAATGGGTTACACGAAATAATAATAGAAGGCTGCATCATATATGTATAAATCCATATCTAACTGACGATTCTTAAACTAATATAAAATGGGTTCGAATCTCGCGGGGGAGGCAGGATCGTGGATGCACACTGCTGAGGAGTCCCATACTAGGACGAAACGGCCGTCCAGTGCTTTCAGGTTTTCCATGGTGGTCTAGCTTCAAATGACTCATAATTTCAACTATTGTAATATAAAATGATTGTTTATTACACTACATTTTTCTGTGATTTATGATGGGAAATTACCTTCAAATTTCTTACTTCTATACCATAGACAACTTTTAAAAGTTCAGTCTTCTAAACCTTCTTTTTACAAGCATTCCACTTCTGATCGATGTCACATACTACTTATGTCTGTCGACGTAAGTAGCATACACCATAATTGTAATTCTTCTTTATCTTTTAAATTTGTATTTTTGGGTTTTATTCGTTCTGTATTTTCTAATATCTACTTTTCAATTAATGGTCATTATTCTCAAACTTTAGCTACCACATTTAATAGTATACGGTCATTGTAGTAAATTGAATAGATACACCGCTTATACTGGATCTACACACTCAAATAAGCATTCCATTAAAGTTATTATTTGCCTTTTGATCTATTTGTTATTTATGTCAAATTATTCATAGTTATTTTGTTCGCTTTAATTAATGTCTTATTATTTTCGTTTCTCAGACATTTTCCATCGTTGCCTTTAGCCTTTTTCTTTCGCTATGAACTCAATTTTATGTTACTACAGTAGAAAATATTTTAGTTATTCATTAGATAGAAAAGAAAAAGTCTACGTAGAACCGTCAATTGTGTTAAATTGGATTACGTGGGCTACTTTGTATCTTATTGACAGTTAACTTTGGTAGATAAAATTTATTTAGATAATTGGCAAAGGAATTAACGATAAAGTAAATTGTATG